GACTGCAGCAGCTGCCAACTTTACCCGAGGCGAGCTTGCCACAGCCTTGAGGAAGGTACAATGTTCTTTAGAGCTTTTTTTTTGATAGGTAATTAGATAATTTTATTAATTGAAGGATAATAAATGAGAAGTGTATTATCAATTTAAACAAGAAAGGAACAACATGAAATTAGGCAACTTTTCTATATGATTAGTAATCATAGCATTAAACCAAGTATACAAAGGCAGATATGAAATTATTGTACTTTTTCCTGGTTTGTACATTTTGACAATACTTTTCTCGTATTTTTGTATTGGAATGTGAAACACTTAACTTGGGGCTTGAATTATCAAGCTAGCATCTGTTTTGTTTAGGACAATGCTCAAGAAAATACATGGAACTGTCTAATACATAATAAGTGATGAACTGTGTCTATAATTTTTATGGTGTGATAATATTGTGAGGAATGAAGATATCTATCTAAATCTTTCGATTTATCACTGATATGTTATTTTTATTTTATATTTGTAATAGAGACTATATTTGGCAAGTTTAACATACTGTAATTTCTAAATTCTTTTAGGTGCTTAGGATGTTCTAAGATTCTTTTGATAATATTTTTTGACCAATTTCGAAAGCTTTTGTTATCGCAAATCTCAATATTTTCTCTTCCTCCAAGCTATTAAGATTTTGTGATTGTGAAGGTAGAATATTCTATGTTTCGAACTGTGATTAAAAAGAGAAATCAGAATCTTTTAAAGTGTCATATAGAACTATTTTTCGTGTCTTGATAAATTTTCACTTGAATATTTTTGGTCGACAATAATTGCGGTGTGTTATTAGTAGATTATGACTACTCTTGCTAATTTTCTAGTTTCATTGAAACTTTTCTGCAATAGTGCATAAGTCTGCATATTATTTTGCTAGTGGAGCTCGAAATATTTAGTTTCTAGAAAAAAAAAAAAAAAAAAAAGGGAAGCAGGAATATGTTAATCTTGTTCCTAAGAGAGCATATATATCCACAAAAGGATGTTTCATGCTCTCTTGTTCTCTATTTTGTTTTCTTTTCATATTGATGTCATCTTCTGGTCTCCCCAAACTTCTGACACCCATGTTTTCGATCTGCAATGATATCCTTACTCTAGGCGGAAATTTAAATTTTTATTTCTTGAATTTTTCTTCTCTTCTTGATATATGTTGAATTGTGATACCTTGGAATCAGCCCTTCAATCTCTGTTGCATTTGTATGGATCATATATGGAGACAACTAGTGCTAGAATGTTGCGTAAACACGTAATTTCTCAAATTTCTGCACCTAATGTCATGTTATCAAAGACGTAATTGATATTTTAGAAACCTTCTTCCACCCGCATGTGTAGCCTATTCCTTCCACTTGTTTTTTTGGAAACAAATCACATGCTTTTAGGAAAAAAACGTGGGAGAGTTTGGGATAGGCTAGGGATCCTTCGATATTTTATATGAACATCACTTTCTTCCATCAAGAGAGTAGTTTTTCCCTAGCTACCAATGCATTAAGGAAGCCACGATTTACTTAGGCGGTTAAATATCCCTCATTAAAAATTTTAAAATACAACCTCAAACATTTGGCCATAAATAGGACATTCTCCCATTTGGCCGGCATGTTAAACAAATTACTCTTAATGTTAGTACATATTTTGGCGGCACAGATAGTGAAACTATCCAATCTATTAATGATACTATGTTAAACATTGTGATAACATTAAAGCTACTTTATTAAATGGAGTTCTGAAAGAATACATGAAACAGATCGAAGGTTTGGCCTGTCATTGGTATTTGAAGTTTTAGAATGTTGTTGCTACACGTTTTTTTGGCAGAGTATATTATTCTAGCCCGAGTGACTTTTTACTTGCTAGTAGTGATTTTAGTTTGCTACATGACAAATTATTTTTACCCAAAGCCGTAAAGCAGAGGATATCATTTGCACTTACATCCAAAAGGAACAAATCTTAGAGCAAGTTGAAGAATGTGATATTTGATGACCCACATATTTGGAATTGATTTTTCAAATTTTAGAATGTTTTATTAACCGACCACCTGAATGAATAACTACCCACTTTCTTCAAATTGGAAGTTTATCTAATGGCAGAGGCCAAACTTTTTCCTACATTTTCTTTTGCACAAAAAATCTTGCTTATATCCATCAAGTAAAAAAAGGCAATAAAGTGGGAATCGGCTTGAAAGCATGCTGCTTAGTGAAGAACTTTTACAGTGAACATCTATTAACTCGTTGATAAAACATGGCTGGAGGTATATTTCAGGAATTTGTTTTCTTAATATTGGGTAGCCAAGTTCTAGATACACTACGATTATTCATTACTGAGCATGCAATCAGTGAAATATATGTTTTGGTAGAAAATACAGAGAGGTCCAATTGCACTAACTTTACTACACTAGCATACTTTTCTTTACAGCTAATTTACACGTATCGTACCTCTGCAATGTCTTTGAATGCTGACTGAGTAGTTCTTTTGTGCACGCGAAGAGTCCTACACTAGTGTCTCGGTTGGTTGTGTGTGTACTTATGACTTTTTATTTTATATAGCCCAATGTTCCCCATTTTCAACCAAGGTAATTGTAAGACTAGAAGGTGCATATGGCACACTGAAAATCTTTGATGTTACCAGGCTTACGTTTTGAATATTTGGCTCAAATTTGATTGGTAAATTTGAAACGGAACTTTGCTGAACACCCCCCCCCCCCCCCCCAACCAGAATCCATATATGGTGAATATCATCATGGCTGGCTACGACAAGGACATTGGCCCATCCATCTACTTTATTGATTATATTGCTTCTCTTCACAAGCTTGATAAAGCAGCATTTGGTTATGGATCGTATTTTGCACTCTCCATGATGGATAGGCATTACCGCAAAGACATGATAGTTGAAGAAGCCATTGATTTAGTTGACAAGATCATAATGGAAATACGAAGTAGGCTGGTTGTGGCCCCACCAAACTTTGTAATCAAAATTGTTGACAAAGACGGGGCAAGGGAATATGCTTGGCGTGAATCTATCAAGGATGCGCCTGTTCCAGGAGTTTGAGACTTTTCAGGGGTATTAATATGTTTTGATGCTTCGTTGATTGACTCTAAAATAACTGTTGAAATCTTCAAATACTGGGATTTTTTCTGTGTTTGATTTATGATATGCTAGAAGTCTTGCTTTCTAAAGAACTTAACGTGCTTTTGCTTAGTAGTTGATATAAAGACTGAGATTTTATTCGACTGCTCTCTTTATTCCAAATGTGGCCAATCCTAGATATTTTGGGGAAGAAGGCTGAGTTTATTGTTGTTTATTTCAAATGTGGGAGTTTCTTTTTAGGCGTGATTGTTTTTGGAGGCCTAGATGCGCATCACCACTGTCGCCTTCACCCGTTCTCCATACGCCGTATGGACAATGTAAGTAACTCGCACGCCAAAAATATATCAAGATTAAACTCATCAACTTTACAGGTAACGTGGAAATCATGTGAAATTTGGACTAATTTGTTTAGCGCTGTGAGAATCAGCCCTCGAATGAAAGTCATTTTCTTTAAAAATATTATCATCCCCTTGATATTCCCACGATCTCACTTCCCCAAACACACAACCCACATTATTTCTTTCCCCAAGGATGTTTTAAACAACAATGCGATTCTGTAGTTCTCTTGCCCAAGTGTTCTTTCTCTAGGAATTGTAGCTATGTAATGGACTGTTCATTCGGCCGTAGAGGTTTTGAGACACCCCGAGGCAACCTTCTCGACACATGTGGCCGACAAGTTAAGATATGCAATTTCTGCATCATCCCCCGAATGTATAGGCGTTAGTGGTGCTCCCTGCACCTCTTCCCACGGTACCATTTACATGTTGCCTTTAACACCACCTTCATCCTATGCACTTTTGCATTAGTACCCGAGTGGACGGCTCTTCTAATTGCTTCGTCAACACGCATGTTGAAGTATACCTACAAAAGCCTTGACTATTTAATTCCACAGCAATGCCTTGGTTATGTCCTTGCGAAACAAACGTTCATACAATAGGCAAAAGTGTATAGCGCATGTCCCTAACATTCATTATCCTCAAACGTTTTCATCATCGATTCCTCTTGCTTGCCAACACTTTGCCACATGTTGGCGGTCATAAAATCTTTTCTGCAGGAACGCACACCATTAGTCTTGGATAACCGACAATGCAACATTTGAAGTGGACTCACTCTGATACGTGTAACAAATTGCTCATTCAGCCCTTAAGGTTCCAAGACACCCCAAGGCAGCCTTCTCGACACTTGGGACTGGTAAGATATGCAACATAAGCACAATATAAGGAGGTGGAAAGCTTGCATTGTACCTATATAAAGGACATCGTTAGTGCACTTCTGAGAATATAGCAATAAACCCGCAGTAAGCAATTTTTTCATACTACCAATGGTGGACGCAGACATGTGAAGTTAGTGGGGGCACAATCTAACTTATAAAAACATTACGAAAAAATTAATATTTTTGATATGTTATTACAATTGTTTTCTACGCATTTCATACTTTCATAACATTTCATAATTGCATTATTTTCAGTACTATCAAATGCACAATTCTCAATATATGCAATCAAACTATCATTCAACCATTGATCTCTAATTCGATTGTGCAGAAGATTTCCTGACATAAGTCATGCTAGAAAATACTTTCTCGACTGTAACAGTAGCCTCGGAAGAACTAAGGCTAATGTTGTGCTTGTACACTGATGGATACACTTCATGTTTATTTTTTGCACCTAATTTCAGTCGGAGATCACTAAGGCCTTGTAATTCTTTCAAATCTTTGTCTGCACGCATAATATATGCATCTAATTGATCATCAAGTTTTGAAATATTTGTTGCATCAAAATCTGCTAAATAATACTCACATAGCCTAATTACTTTGTTCTTGTTAAAAGTAGCAAATGAATATTGGCATAAAGAAGCAACAAAAATGAGTAAGTCATTAAAAGATTATTAAATTCTTAAAGTTGCATGTCAATGATGGCATAAAACATTTCGACACTAAAGTGATGCAAATTTGTCAATGTAGCACATCGTAAATAGCCTGGAGTTTTGAATATATCATTTATATTTAGATTACTGATCTTGTGAGCTGCTTAGAATGAACAAACCATTCAAAAAAAAAAGAAAAAAAAAAGAAGAAGAATCTCATCCATCCTCCCACATAGTTTGAAGTTGTACGTTACATAATTTCACCAATCTCATGGCATTGACAATATTTTGATCATTCCTTTATAATGTTTTCGAAAATTCATTTGAAATTCCCAAGATCTTTCTCATGGGATGTAAATTAAATGCAAATTCAAATTTTAATATTGTCCCCAATAAAATATCTGCATCACCCCTTTTATGGAACTTGTAGTATCAATAGAAATTACCTCAACAACATCAATGGTAGTTGAAAACATGAGAATCAAGTTAATCAAACAGCTCTAGTGAGAGCTCCAACGTGTATCACTAGAACGTATACTGAGTCCTTCAAGAATTTGAGTCTTTGTTTCTCTCAAGGAAGATCACTCTGCTTAGCCAACCCTCTAATAGTACTTACCAATCTGTGTACTGAAGTGAAGAAAGCTTGAATTTTTGGATGTTTCTGTGCCACAGTTACAAGAGCTAATTGACGTTGACGAGCAATGCAATGAATGTAATAAGCACTTGGATTTTCTTTCAGGATAAGTGATCTGAGACAATTATACTTACTTAGCATATTATTAGCACCATCATATCAATGAACTCTCACGCCAGAGATTAAGGGAATCATGGTAGCCTAGCAGTATACTACTTATGTGGAAGTTGTACGTCGAGCACAAGCAATTTCTAATGGTTTAGGATTGGAAAAGAAACCTCAACACAACACCGAGACTTCTGTAAAGAGAAAGTAGTGAGGTCACGACAAAGAGAGGCAGGAATCAAAATAAGAAAGTAAAGATTTGGTCAGACTCAACCAAAACATTTCCTCAGTGCTCCAATTGCAACAAACGACACTTGGGGGAATATCTTTAAGGAAAGGTAGTATGCTACATTTGTGGTAAAAGTGGTCACTTCCTTAGAGAATATCCAGAGAAGAAGAAAAAAGGTGACCAATTTAAGAAGGGAAAAGCTAGAGTATTTGCTTTGACGAGAGAAAAGGAGGATCAGAACACAGACGTAATAATTGGTATGTTACCAGTATTCGACATACATGCTATTGTTCTTATGGATTCTGGATCGACTCATTCATTTATTTCTACAATTTTTATGGATAAGATTGGGAATGGATGCGTAAAAACGAGTAACATTTTAGAAGTTAGTATACCCTCAGGCGAAGTCATTAATACTGATCAAATGGTTAAATATGTTAAGTTAGAGATTGAAGGAAAAGTACTAAAGGGGGATTTGTACATCTTGGAAATGAAAGAATTTGATGTAATTTTGGGTATGGACTGGTTGGGTAGAAATTATGCAACTATCGTATGTTATAAAATGAAGTTTTATTTCAAAAACCTAGAGAAGAAAAATTTCGATTCCTTGGAACTATAATTGGGACTCTACCTCGATTGGTATCTGCAATGAAAGCAGAAAAGATGTTGAGAAAGAATATGTATCAAGGATTTTTATTGAATATAAATAGTAAACCCCGGTCCGAAAAAAAAAATAGAAGATGTACTTGTGGTTAATGAGTTCGTGGACATTTTTTCTGAAGATTTACCTGGTATATCGCCTGATAGGCAAGTATATATCGCAATTAACTTGACCCCTGGGGCAACACCAATATCTAAGGCTCCTTATAGGATGGCACCAAAAGAATTACAGGAGTTGGATACAACTACAAGAATTATTAGATAAGGGTTTCATCCAGTCTAGTGTATCCCCATGTCAGCGCCAGTATTGTTTGTTAAAAAGAAATATGGGTCAATGAGGCATTGATTATATACGTATTAATCATTTGACTATAAAGAACCCACTCCCAAGGATTGAAGATCTTTTTGATCAATTGCCTCAAAAATAGATTTGAGATCAGGTTATCACCAACTCAAGATAAAGGATTGTGATATCTCTAAAACAGTGTTTATAACACGGTATAGGCACTATGAGTTTACAATAATGCCATTTGGATTAACCAATGCACCAGCTGTGTTTATGGACTTAATGAACCGAGTTTTTCATCCATACCTAGATCAATTTATTATAGTCTTCATCAACGATATATTGGTATACTAAAAGGATAAGCAGCAACATGAAGAACAGTTAAGAGTGGTATTGAATACCCTTTGAAAGGAGAAATTGTACGCCAAATTCAAAAAATGTGAATTCTGATTACATCTCATTGACTTCCTTGGTCATGTGGTTACTGTGTAAGGAATTGAGGTAGACCCAACTAAAGTTGAAGTTGTAACAAATTGGGCAACACCGATCAATGTAGGTAAAGTTCGTAGTTTTTTAGGTCTGGCTGAATATCGGAGATTTATTGAAGGATTTTCTAAGATAGCTAGTCCACTGACACATTTGACTAGAAAGGGAGTGAAGTTCCAATGGTCAGATAAGTGTGAAAGTAGTTTTCAAGAACTGAAACAGAGATTAGTTTTAGCGCCAGTACTGACTATACCAGAAGGTTCGGAAGGATATGTTATATACACTGATGCTTCTAAACAAGGTTTGGGATGTGTGTTGATGCAATATGGAAAGGTTGTAGCCTACGCCTCTAGACAGTTGAAACCATACGAACATAATTGCCCAACGCATGACTTAGAAATCGCAGCAGTAGTTCACGCACTAAAAATATGGCTTCACTATCTCTATGGCTATAAATGTGAGATATACACCGATCACAAAAGTCTCAAATACCTCTTTACTCAAAAAGAGTTAAATATGAGACAAAAGAGATGGCTAGAGTTGGTTAAAGACTATGATTGCACAATTCTTTACCACCCAGGTAAAGCCAATGTAGTTGCTGATGCTTTGAGTAAAAAAATAGCTGGAAAGTTGACAGTTCCAAAACAGTTAGTTAAAGAATTTAAAAATTTGAGGCTAGAGGTGGATGCACTTTCTGTACAGAAAACAGCTATTGTTGTAGCTCTATTAATTCAACCCACTCTTAGAGGGCGGATTAGAGAAGCTCAGAAGAATGACCCATTTTTGTGTAAAATCATGGCTGGAGTTGGGACAGATAAGCAAAAAGGATTTGCGATAACTGATGATAAGGTACTTATGTATAAAGGCAAAATATGTG